CAGCCCATGTTGACCCTAAACGCGGCCGCCCGCCAAACGGGGCCCCACTCAATTCCAGTGCACTGCACTGCTTCACCCCTTCTGGGTTAGAATAATAAATTGATAGATCATTTTCTCTCTACCAAACAAATATCGACGACTGACAGGGTACCGGGGAGGAGAGAATGTACGGGCCACGCACAGCCGACGGGCGGGAGCACGCACGGGTGGTGGGGACGCAGGTCGCAGGGGACGGGCCAATGGGCGGGCGAGTAAATCGAGCGAGGGCTGGCTGGACCACGCACTAGGGTATAGAATAGAATATCGTTACAGCCAAAAAGATCAAGATATATGAAGAACAGGATTCAGATTAATCCTACTGATTAGAAAATAACACGTAGACGCGACAAAGATTGTACTCTTGTCGTGTCGAATATTGACAGGTTATCTTAATATTAATAAAGTAGACATATACCCTGGGAATCGCAAAAAAAGAAAATAGATAGATGTGGAAATAAGAGCTTGTCTATACAAAAATAAGATAGAATATTATTAGGTAAATCAACAAACACGCACACTATCCCAGCGGGAGTACGCACCGTGGATCTCGCGGAATAGATCTCCACTCTCGAGAGAATGGACGAATCAGCGGCGGCGTGGGTGCAGCGAGGGCTCGCTGCACCACGCACTAGGGTATAGGGTATACCCTATGTATATGTTGACATGACTCCGAGATTCTCCCCTGCAAAGATCATACTTATATGTGATATAAATAGAGCGAGTTCTTTACTACATCTGAAGTGATGGACAAGGCTGAATGTAACCAACCGACCCATCAATATCCGCAGACTTGCCACAATGTGGAAGCAAATGATTTACGCCCTTCAAACCCGAATCAATCGGAAACAAAGTGTAAATTCGCTCATGGTTGAAACCATCAGTGATAACCTATCTGAGAAACCCGGCTTCTACCTCGATGAAGTGGTTGTGTCCCTATGGGATGAGTTTCAGGCTATGGCTACAACCTCTAGCATTGGGAAGCATGTTAAGGAACTGTGAACAGAGATAAAAATACGTACTAAGGGTTGCATACACATCCAAATATTACATTTACTGACACTTGTTCGGACATTTCAGACATATCCATGCTAACCCCTGTAGCGCAGGAGCTGGGCGCACCATTGTATAAGAGCCGAGATAGGTGGTGTGTCAAGGTATGTGGTAGCATAATTCTCCAGCTTGACGAGCTGTTTGACATCTGCCAGGTTAATATCGTCACCCATAGTGCTAGGGTCAAATCGGAAATACTGGACATGGTCTATGACCATCCTTTGCTCGAAACGACGATGCTTGGCTTCGACATTTGTCACATTGGCCAAAATTCGGCCTCCTTTTGAAACGGCCGGATGGCGTGCAAGAATATTCTTGCTTCTCATCATCTTCGCACATTTACCCGTTCCTAGGCTTACCACGCAATTCAATCCTCGGTCTGGAAACAAGAGATGCTTTTCGTCGTAAACTTCGTCAATCGGATTATTGTTTGTAAGGCCACCGTCCCAGAACTTATTGTGACCAATCCTGGCTTCCGGAAAGTAGAAGGGGGCGGCCGATGTAGCCCGCGCAGCTTGTGATATGGTGCATTGAGGGTAAAAAAATAGAATCCGAGGATCTGCCGGTTCGTACGTACGGAGCCTTATAGTCTCCATGTCTTGTTTCCGAAAGGTACACACGAAACTAGGAAGTATCAGTATAGTATTGCGGTTTCATAGATAAAGATTCCACTTAACGATTTGCAACATCTTGCACCATTGGGATCAAGAAGTGTAGCAGATTCAGCAGATTGACCTGGAAACTTGTCCCCCACTAGGTCGTTCACAGCCTTCTCTAATGGTTGGCCTTTGTACCAGGGGCGGCCTAGGACTGTTTTAATCTTAGAACCCCCCACGTATCGAGATGCAAAAGATCTTTTGAAAATATCACTTGAAAGTGTCTTGTATGCATTGATCGCCTCTTGGACACTCATATGCTAAGATGTGTTGGCTAACGGGCAGTTCAGATTTTGGTTTGGGTGTTCACAACGTACCAACCGGAACAGCATAATGCAAATAAGTCTGAAGAGGATTCAGTAATTGATCTTCGTCGTGCACTAGGGATTTATACCCGCCCGTGCTTGTTCCGCCAGCCAAATCAAAATAGTCAGCTGGAGCTCTATCATCATTACTGGCTGTTGGACTTTCTTCAAGCTCTTGGTTTCTTATGCAGTCCATGATGCGACCAAGCACCAGGAGGCTCACAAGACCACGTACTCCGCCTCCGTCTTTTCCCAAGTTAATGACTAGTTGTGTATAAATGAAAGGACCGCGTACCAATACTAAGGAGCCGCACTCCATCCGGCGTTATATGACGCTTATATGTCAAGGTCGGCATTGGAAGTCCACCGTCTTTGCTCAGTCCGGAAAAACTATAATGCTCCATAATATATCAAATGCAATTGTCTTAATAGGAGTCCATTACAAACATACCCTGTGATCTTCTTAACGAGCCCGAAAATTTGAACCTTTAGCTCTTTTAGCCCCGTTGCTGATTCGCGGGCATCCTTAATGAACGTCCTTTTGTTAAATGGCGACAAGGATTTCTTGTCGAAACCTATCTTTTCAAATTCTGCCAAAACGCCCTCCACAATCGCTACAATGCTTGCGTTGTCCGTGTTGTCTGTGTTGTCCGTAATGTCCGTCTTCCAACGACCTGTCTTGCTGTGTTCATCATAGTACAACTGAAGTACTCGCAAGGCAGATTCGATATCTCGTACAACTCAACCTGTGTTTAATTGGCCTTGTGTATAACCCTTGCTGGTGGACTTACTAGCTATAGCATCGTGGGTATCCTGATTGTAAGGGCCAGCAGCATTTAGTTGTTGGACAAATATGCGACAGCCGATTGAAGCGTCGATTGTACGCCTGCCTGGGGGCTGGGAGGTACACAGCAGACTTGTTGTGGCCATATTACTGCACACCCAAATCTATCTGCGATTAATAAAAGTACCCTAATAGCCCTAGTCCCACTAAAGAGTGACTTACAACTGTTTTTCCTTGAGAGGACAAGTACCACTGTATTCCAGAGTAGAATGCCAATCTGTTTACGATACCCCGGAGGTTCACTTCGATAACGCCACTTCTCAGCCTCATATATAGGTGAACCAAGAGCTCGGGGCACAATGATACTATAGCAAATCAGCTGCCTTTCCCAAATAAGGGCACGATGGAGTGTGGATTAAATTGTTCTAGAACTCCAAGGATCGTGCAAAGATACCATGATATAGATAGATTGTTTGTCAGGTGAGCCGGGTTTGTTGGTATTGGTTGTGGCACTTGACACAAATCCGGCGACCACCTACAACCCGGTTGATGGCGAAGTCTAGATTTCACATGGCTGAGAGCCAATTCCATTATCTGGGCGTCGAGACACATTATTGGCTTCCATATTTCAGAGTCAGAATGTCTGGACTGGCCTTTTAACACCATATGACACGAGATCTTGTCAGATAATGACTTCCAGAAAGCTAGTTTTAACTTAAACTACTTATGTATTTCCGCGCGCTTACGCAAATCCTTAGTTTCTTGGAAACACAGCCGTTAAAAGGTTTAGCTTAATTTTCCGCAAGCAGCATTAGGCCATCCTTATATAGGAAGGAGTCTAATCCGCACAGACCAAGGATGAAATGCACGGTATATTATTACACTGCATGATACCGTATCATAAAAAGGTATTCAATTATATCCCTCAGTATGTTTTCGTCGCAGTTGAATAAATGGCCCGCGCCAAAGCCTTGGCAGTTAATAAAAAAAAAGAAAAAAAAAAGAGTGGAAGGGGTTATCTCAGCAGGCTCAGACCATCTGGACAATGGAATGTCCGCCTTAGGCTTAGCATAAAATTATGGAAATTTTTAAAGTCACTAACTTGGTATATATAGATCAATAAGAACATGGGACTCCCTTTTCGTTATATAGAATCTGAGAGATATGTAACAGCGGTTGACTCAGCTGGCCGCCTTAGGCAACAATACTCCGCCGCAAGCGAGGCGCTGGGGGCCCGACAGCTTATACTATTGTGATTTAGGCAAATGTAGGATGGATATTAGGCCAAGCGAGGTCTCCGAAGGACTCGTAAGCTCAGGGGTAGGAAGCACCTTCTTATACCATTCGCTCGGTGGTCTATCTAGTGGAATACTACTTGAAGTAGATCAACTATCTAGGATTCGGAGATTCGACCGGCGCCGTTCGCCATTCTGTTGAACAGATCCGGTCGTTAGTAGTGCGAATTCGGCCCTTCATCGGACGATTGCATACAACAAAGCTATTCGCACTGTAGGCGAGCGGAACCAAAATCACAGTATACACTATAGATTTTAATTACAGAAAGAATTTAGGTTTTTAAATAATGTATTCTGTTCTACCTTATATATAATTCTTCTAATAATCTATCTACCTGCCTATTTATACATCTACTTATGGAGTGCTATGGGCATACGACATTTTAAGTGAGATATATGACGGAAAAAGAACTTTTCGGACACTACAAACTTCTGAAGTAATATCAAACGAGTGTTATTTGAGACCACAGCAAACCGTTTCATTCCAACATGTCGTTCACTCTTCATTGACGATCCCCTGAGACGCCATTCGAATCAACTCACGACTCCTCAGACGCTCGCCCAGTTTCGAAACTATCTCATCCATTGCCACCCGAACCTCGACCTGCTCGAGATATACGGTTGTAGCATGTTCGATGAGATTGATTTTCGTGTACTCATGCAATCCAATGTCCTGCAGCCCTGAGTCCACATTAAGGCGAAAGTAACTGTTCGCGACTCTACGGTTCACATCTTCGTCAACCGCCCAATGAGACGTAAATTTCCTCGCTGTGTCCTCAGCTGCAGCTTGCATCCCGTCGGGGCGTGTAAGGGATCCACCCTCCATTGCCCTCATGTGAGCTTTTCCTGTCCCGATAGAGATAAAACACGTCACTCTATTTCTCAGCTCATTCCCACCAAGGTGATATATATGTTTTGCCTCTGACTCCACCTTCTCTATTGGGTTATTTGCGCCAATTCCACCGTCAATAAATTGACGTCCGCTAATAGTAATAGGATGGAAGTAGCCAGTGGCTACAGAAGTTGCGAGAGTCGCGTCCAGAATTGTAACGGAATCAAAAGCTGATTCTCCTGATGTATAGCTTCTAAGGCATTCAATCGTATCAGGGCCCTCAGAAAGCACACGAACAAATCTATTCATACAGATAAGCAAGCCAATCCGTGATCCTAATATGTAGACATCACTTACACGTTGCATTCAGGTTCAGGTTCATTAAGCGGGGCATCTTTCGGAATGCTTTTGTTATCAAGAAAACACGTGAATTCGTTTGCCAGCTTTTCCGAATCGTATTGAGACATAACCCATTTAGGAAGAAAGCGTAAAACCCAGCTGAAAGGGGTCCAATGTGGTGCCTTCGTAAAAATATTCTCCATTAGACAATTGAACGCTTCAATACAATCATCAATATCCATCTTAAGGCGGCCCAGCATGATAGCAATGAGCCTATATATGTCAGCTATTCTGATAAAAATAAAGTATAGATAGTCATACCCGCCTGCTGCAGTCCCCCCTACAAGATCAAATACTTGATATAGTCTAACCTCTTCAAGTCCGTTAACTCGACGATTTTTATTCAAGCCATTTATGATTTTTTTTAGGATTAGGAGGGTTGACAGGCCACGGACACCCCCGCCATCAAGAGATAGCAGACAGATAGGATGGTCTTCGTCAGAATGTCGGCTAGCCATTTCGCAATTGATGTTATCGGATCTTAATCTTCAGAATATGCAAAGACGATAAAGGGAAATAGCTCAGGTGGCAATTTGTTGGCAATTTGTTGGCACTAGGACGTTTCTAAATACACAAATTAAAGTCTGAATAACGTCATCTCAACCATATGACTAACCGGGCATCGGATTCGGTTCGCCTTACACAAAATACCCAAAAGTATAATTTTTACGTTGTTTCACCAACTGTATGGTACGGGATCAACTAATTTAGTTACGCCTTCCCTACCACAAAATAGACAATCGAAATCATATACTTTTGCTCTCTGTTCGCCAGGGGTACCTGAGAGTCCCTGTGAACCCGCTAAACACCGCTAAACACCGTGACCTGAAGAAGCTATGCTGTTCTAATTGAGTCCATTTGGGAAGTCCTAGGAGAAGACTCGATCTAGAATCTACCTGGTCCCATGTCATTATTGGATGATTCCGTGGAATCACTAAGTCTGATGGATGGTTTGGCGCGATGTGGTCCAATCTATTCCAGCGGAACAGGAAATTATACCTGGATGACGAACAGAATCGTTATAACCGAATCCCGCGGTGTATTCCAACAAATAAGACAAGCTCTAGTAAACATCGAACATTGGGATCTCGACCATGTTATGATGTAAAAGCTCATGCTTTATTCGTTGCTGACATACCATCCCAAGACAGACATCGTTATATTTTACAAGGCGCTCTGCCCCCGCCTTTGATTAAACATTCATATTTGTCAAGCTACTATTAAGTTTTGTTCAGAAATATCTGGAGCTGCATAACAACCAACAATTCCTAAATGGACAACCGAATGCGTAATGAGAACACCCGTAAGAACATTTTGTCTCTTGATGGCGGCGGTGTTCGTGGTCTGTCAACCCTTCTAATCCTGCAAAAAATTATGGACCGGTTAAACAGTGATCGCCGAAGGAGTGGACGTAATGAAGTTAAACCATGTGATGTCTTTGATCTTATAGGGGGAACTAGTACTGGCGGGTATATCTCTCCTATATCTTTTTTTCAGAATACACTAATATTATCAGGCTTATTGCTATAATGCTCGGCCGTCTTAAGATGAACATTCAGGATTGCCTTGAGGTTTACACAGGATGGATGGGTAGCATTTTTAAGCCTAAACATTGGATACGAGTTGGTTGGACAGGTCAGATCATCTCAAAATACGATTCAGAAAAACTAGAAAATGCGATTAAGGATGTGCTGAAACGAGTACAACTACCGTATGATGCACTTCTTAAACCCCATCAGGATGAAGAACGACCCAGAAGTGACGTGTAAGTATTATTGGAAGGGAATAAAACCACTTGCTTACCTGCATGATAGATTCGTTTGTGCGGCTCCTTCTTCTGGTTCTGCAATTCATTGTTTTAGAAGCTATACTTCAGACAGATCAGCCTTCAATGAAGATGCTACTATTGTCGAAGCAGCACTCGCAACTACAGCAGCCACTGGCTACTTTGATGCTGTTACTACTATTAATGGCCAGTTTGTTGATGGTGGAATCTATGCAAATAACCCTGTGGAGGAAGCTGAGATTGAAGCCATTCATAAGTGGTGTCACGGTACAGAATCGCTGAAGGGTAAAACTAATTGCTTCATTTCAATTGGGACCGGGAAACTGGACGACAGAACGATTGAGAAGTTTTTTATCCGATTCTTCCGCAAGACGCTGGTTGCAATCGCAACAGAAACAGAATATACAGCAGAAAAGCATATCGAACGATGGCAAAACGCCTACACTGAGAAGCGATATTTCCGGTTCAACGTTAATGAAGGATTAAAGGGAGTAGGTTTGGAGGATTACAACAAGGAACAGGAAATCAAACAAGCTACGGGGTATTATTTAACTGGCGCGGGAGTACGGGTGGCCATAGAGGATTGTGCACATGCACTATCAGTGGAGGAAAGTAGCCACTAATCCATGGGGTGCACACTTGAAAAGAGTGTCTGCTTTGATTGAATTCTATGCCATTTTCCAGAATGACATGGCTCCTAGGAGGTCGAAGAACCTGTTAGTTAAGCAATTTCCTTGGTCCTAACTAAATAATGGGGAGGAGATTAAAGTAGGACGGCACTCTCTCTTCTGTTGTAATCAATGCGATCAGTTTAGCGGCGACATGGTAGAAGCGATGGGTGACAGCTGTGCAGACATATCAATAATATTATTAATAGGATATGCAGAACAACTAGCTCTAATGAGTGATTTTGGTTCTTGAGTGATCACGCGCAAAATGCCTCCTGCATACAGTTTGTCATGACGTCGGCATCGTCTCATCTAATTGTGCAAAGTTTAGTTAACCAGTGGGCGCCTTCATCTTCGGAAACACCGGATTCTGCTTGCGGAAATACCAGGTTGTGATTCATGCGTGGTCGTAAACTTTGTGGACCGGATATAAACTTAGCGACCAGCCTAAAAATTGTAGTTTAGTTAATTTTATTGAAATCAGGTTGTTACCGTTTCTATTCTCAACAAAAAGAATAGCATGATGACAGACGACAGATTGGAGCATGCGAAGATCGGGTCCTGGTTCCTCGGCCCCCGGGCTGAGAACCACGAGCAACTCAAAGCATTCTTGGCTTACATCCTTGAGAAACACAGGGAAGCGAGGTCAAATATATACATATACGATCCAGATTTTATTACTCCCGAGATGCAAAGAACTCAAAGCTACCATGATTCCATCAATCGTCTTTGGAGAATGGTCAAATTTCTGACTAGAAAGCTGGCGAGCCATTCCATCCCATTCTGGTCTCCTAGATACAATGCACACATGAACATGGACACGGCTATGCCTGGCATAATTGGCTGTGAGCAGCTCCCTTGGCACCCGAACTATCCTACGAGTATTAGCACTGAGACGTATAAGATATGGCTGCAATGTTGTACAATCCAAATAACGCGGCACCTGAAGGCAGCCCATTGACGACCCTAATCGAACGGAAGGTTGGACAAGAGCTTTGCCAAATGCTGGGGTATAGGACGGAACGAATCGAACAATGCGATACATCGTGTGCGTGGGGACACATCACATGCGTGAGTGGCATTCTTTGGTCCCGTGGAACTCTTCGCTTTGTGATTTGAATTGACATTGTTATAGGATGGCTCGGTGGCAAACCTGGAAGCTATTTGGGCAGGTTGGTGCTACGTCCTCTTCCAGATGGCAGTGATGTGCAGCTGCTCACTCACGGTCTCAATGTCTGACCTAGTTTCTAGCCCGCAATCTCAAGTTCTACCCTTTGTCCCTGAAGTTAGCGATGGAGACTGGGAACAGATTAGATTTCCTTGGCACAATCGAACCACCATTCACCCTAGAGAACTGCAAGGGAACCAAGAAACTGTTCAAAGAGCTATCAACATGGGAGCTCTTGAACCTTAAGCCGTCGATAACACTCGATATTCCCACTCGTCTCTACAAGGAGTATGGCATCTCGCCATCGTTTCTGGAATCAGCCATAGGCCCATACCTTGTTCAATCGATCGGTATAGATCCCCTGGAAAAAAAGTTCAATATAAAGAATTCTGCAAAGTTCTGCATCAGCATTGGGAGGCACTACTCTTGGCCCAAAGGCGGAGGTAAGTGAACACTGCCACAAGGCCCTTCTCCATCTTATTTTGCAAACTCTAGCACTTATCGGCATTGGATCGGAGAGCTTTGTTAATATCAACGTCGACTTGCACGCTCGCATGAATATCCAAGAGCTTAAGAGGTATCTCGACTCATGTGTACCAGATGCTGAGGATGATCGGACTCCTGTCTTCGGTGTAGTTGCGATTATGGGATCCACTGAACACGGAGCGTGCGACCCACTGAAAGAACTGGTTGGTATTCGCGAAAGCTACGAAGAGAAAGGCCTCTCGTTTCTCATCCATTGTGACGCAGCATGGGGTGGATATTTTACCTCCATGCTCCGTACACCAACTGAAACGTTACATCTGCCATATGTTCCAATCATGGCACTGAAGCCGCATACAGAAGAACAGCTGAGGGCCCTTAAAGATGTTGACAGCATTACTGTAGATCCTCATAAGTAAGTAACGCAGTGAAATCTAATTGAAACGTGGTGTCCTGGATAAGAGTTAAGATGTTACCCAGATCCGGCTACGTGAACTATCCTGCTGGTGGTCTTTGCTACCGTGATGAACGGCTGAAATGTCTCATCACTTGGACTAGTCCTATAGTTTTCCATGCGGGTGATGCGCTCGAGAGTATGGGCGTCTATGGTGTGGAAGGAAGCAAGCCAGGCGCCTCGCCGGTTGCCGCCTGGCTGACTCACAACACTTTGAAACTCAACAGTGAAGGATATGGAAGACTACTTGGTGAAGCTATCTTCACTTGTTCAAAGGTCAGTTACACTCCCAAGAGCGCAGGCAATAATTTAACGTAATAGCAAATAGCTCTACTGCCACTGGGCTACTATGACCCGAGAAGATACAGATCTAATTGTTGTCCCATTTAACATGCTCCCAACAGAACAGAATAATGCTAGTCCAGAAGCTATTGAGAAGGAAAAGACATTGATTGAAAAGAGGATTTTAGGCGTGAGCAATGAAGACTTGATGAGGGACTCTGTAGCGGCGGATCTGTTGAAGGATTTAGGCAGCGATTTGATGATCAACGCCTTTGCTTGCAACTTCAGAGTGGACGGAGAAGCAAATACCGATGTGGTTAGTAATTACGAAAGCTCATTGCTGCGTGATGCCGGAGGGCTGACTCTTCGGAAGGAAGAGGCCAACTATCTCAATAAGCGAATATTTAAACGTCTCTCGGTTTCAAGTATGTACGACGCCGTCGAAGAGAGGCCACTATTCATCACTGAGTCAACTTTTGCACAAGATGTGTATGGAGACTGCCTTCGCAATTACAAGCGCCGTCTTCAGTTGGGCGAGACTGCTGGTGGAGATTTGGTGTCTTTAGTTAACGTGACCATGAGCCCTTGGCCGAGCGATTACCCATTCCTAAGGGATCTGGCTGAGACATTTAAAAGGGTGGCGAACCAAGAAGTCCAGGTAAAGTACCTGTTCCGTGGATGGATCTTGTCGAGAAGGGTTCTGACCAGATATAGCGATGCGTGAAGCGTAACCGGCTCACAAAGGACATCCACGGGTTCATCATGCAAGGGTGTAATAAACTCTTTCTCGTCCATCTTTCTATGTTCAACATGGCCAATCATCGCCGGCAACTCATCGTTACAGCCGAGATACCGGAGAGGATAATGAGTCAATATCGAAACCTTCGCGCTGAGAATCCTGCCAAGTTCTACAGGCTAACAAATGTGAAAGAGGCATATCTTGAAGAGCTTCAGCACGCGAAATCTTTTGAGGCGAGAATGGATGAGGGGACCCAAGAATCTGACACAGCCCCGCTAGCGACGTTCAACGTGAAGAATGTGAACGTTGTTATCGATAAGTCGCTCAAATCCGACCACCTCGAGAAAAACTATCCAAAAATGATGCCATTTTATGTTTACGGCAGTGAGCAGGAATACCACATAGATCATGTGCTCAAGAAATCCCCCAATGCGCAGTTGACTGCTGATTGCGTCACGGTCTCAGTGAAACCCCCATTAGAGACTGAACAACTCGAACGTGGTGTGGTTGCACGACTCCGGAATGTGTTCGAAAGACCTTTGCAGCCGCTGTAAGTTTTATGTGTTTTAAAACTGTACTTTTCATGACTCCCACTAATAGCTAAGGCCAACATACGAGGGTCAGATCGTACGTAACGTGCCGGGGCTGTCGTTCGTGCCACACCGCAAATATGAGGTAGAAATGTTTGACACCTACGCAAACTTTCAGAACCAGGGTGAACCGATTGCGACCGGAAACATCATGTTGGGGTATCGCGTGTACGCCGATTGGTTGGAGATAAACAAAGATCCTACAGAGACAGTCAAGTAGTCACCCACCCTGTATTTGTTGTAGTTCAGAGGAAGATTGTGTGACCTTGAAGATTTGAGCTTTCCCATACATGTACTAGGACCTGAGCTATTGTCATTCTGTACCCTAGTGCGTGGTGCACCCGACCCTCGTCCTATTTATGCGCCCGCTGATTCGTCCATTCTCGATGTTCCGCGGTGTGTACTCCCGCTCGGATGGTGTGCGTGTTTATTGATTTATATAGCTACATTCCATATTATTTTTTAATATAGAAGCCCTTATGTCTATTTTATTAATAATAAGATAACCTGTCAATATTCTACGTGACAAGAGTACAATCTTTATCGCGTCTAACGTATCTCACTACCAAGTCGGCCACACCACCGAGTCGGCCACCATCTACCAATACCAGCCCGCAGCCTAAATATAAGAGCGTTTATCAACCAAATAACTGCATTTCTAAATAAAAACTAATTACTAAGTGGATTAGGACATCTAACCCTAGTATGTCCCCGATTATGACAATTAGAACACTGCGGTGGCACCTGTACCCGCCGTCTAACTGTAGGAAGTGCAGGATCTATAGGAAGTGCAGCTTGAGCCTTATCAATCTTATCCTTATACTGGAATCGCTCTAGGCCTTCCTAAATAGCTATCCCCTCTGTAATAGCTAGCTGTCTAGTAAATAGCTTCTGCTTTTGATCTCTCTATTTATTATTAGTACAGTATTTGTGTATTTCTTCCCGTGCAAGAACAAGCTTATTAAGAGTCAATTTATAATCTTTAATAATCTTGTCTAATTGTTCTTCTAGCAAAGATAAAGAGCTTTGGGTAGAGTGACTTAACCTAACCGTCATAACCTAGCCATAACCTAACCTAACCGACCTAGGTACAACTAGATTAAGGTTAAGAGACCTCTTAACCGCGGTTAACCGTAGGCTAGGGTAGATTAGATTATAGCGGTTAGATTAATAATTATAGATTAATTAGTAATTAATATACTATAATTTTATAATATTTATTATATTTTTTCTAATTGATTTTACTTATAATATTGTTACTGCGATATATTTATTTATTTATTTATTCAATCAAGTTTAACGTCCATATGGAGCCAGTTGGCTATGACAGATAAATGTGTCTGGGCAGTGGTCTAGACCACTGCCCCTAATTTATGCTAGAAGCTCTATAAGCTCCTACTATTCTTTATATATTTGTTCTGGTCCTTTTCCTCGCCCGATCCACCTATCTGCGCCAGAGTATTTGGGCTGTGCCCTCCTTGGTATTTATTACCTGTTGGGTAACTTCTAGATATGTCTAGGCTATCTCTCCTACTATCCTTCTTCCCTACTCTCTGTTTTCTCTACTAGTCCAAGATCTCTTAGATTGTCTCTAGAGATTCTATCTATCTTCCTGGCTGTCTTTTCTGGGAAGTACCCAGTCTTTGTTGTTACAAGGAACGCTATTAGAGCCTTTATAACTCTCTGATTCTTAAAGAGACGGCTTTCTGGAGCTATCTCTTTTTGTCCAGGTGGTTGTACTCCTGCCTTTGTTAGGGCCCTATACAGGGTCTGTTATTGGTGGTACTATTGTCTGTATTTAACTAGTAGATGACCTGCTGTTCCCTGAGAAGCTTGGTAGTTCTGATATCTAGGGAGGTTCTGAGCTCCTATCCGACTAAGATAGGTTAGTACTGCTGTATACCCAATTTTCAGCTGGTAATATCGATGTATAAGCTGTTTGGGGACTACTCCCGCTACCAGATCTAGTTTCCAACTCTTTTATGGCTGATATCGCTGCTGAGCTCTGTCAGACTGTCTCTCTAGGATCTGTATAAACTATTTTTGTCTTTGGGCCTGGTTTGCCTCTGTATATATTCTGTGTAGGTAGACTAGACTCAGGCTTCTATCTGTATCTCTTGAAAGGGGCTTTTTAGTAGTAGTTTAGCTGCTTGATCAGTTTTCTTATTTTCTAGTACTCTCTGATAACCTGGGACCTATTGAATAGTAGTCAGATATCCCTGAATTATTAGTCTTTGGGCTATATTATGAGTCTGAATTACCTATCCTTGTCCTACACCAGTTCTGTTGTCTTATAGCCTAGCTATCGCTGCCCGGGAATCTAATAGAACCCTGATAGGGCCCTTATAGTCCACCTGCTCAGCTATCTCGAGTGCTTTACATACCCCTGCTAGTTCTGCATCAAAGATCTCCTTTCCCTGTCCCAGAGATATCTGCTTGGTTGTCCAGGTGCCTGAGGGCTGTTGCCATGCAATACCTGCCCCTGTTTGTCCATTATCGAGGCGTGACCCATCTGACCATATAGTTAGACCTTTATACAGGGTATTTGCTTGCTGAATAGCCTCTGTCTCCGTAGGCACTAGTATAGTGCCCGGAAATGCTTTTGGGAAGGTCTCTACCGTTTCCTCAAATCCTGCCGATAGATCTGTCTTCAGTATTTCTGCTAACTTAGCAGCTAGATACTGTCCTAGGTTCCATAGCCCTCGTGCCTTAGGGCCTTCAGCCCATATTCGATCGTCTAAGGGCTGTTCCCCGGGCTGCGCATAGCAGTCACCATTGCGGAAGCTAATAGGCAGTATAGCTCGTGTTGGGTGTCCCTCAGGCAGTCCTAGTAGTCTTAGGCCATATTGTCTCTGGCGTTTGTCTAGTAGCACTGCTGCTGGAGAAAGGGCTGCTTCTTTGATAAGTGGTCCAATAGGTGTAGTTCTCAGCATGCCTGTAATTGCGCGTGCCTGTCGATTGACCAGGTATTGGACCCCTTTCAGTCTATCGTTTTGACCCTGCCACCAAAGCTCTGCTCCATATAGTACAACCGCTTGCACTGCAGCTACTTGAATACGTTGGACAAGACCTGGTGATAGCCCTTGGTCTCGGCATAGACTTTGTACCTGTGCCTCCGCCCTGCGGGCTTTGCGCAGACAGGTATAGTAGTGCGCTTTAAGGGTCAAACCCCTATCTAGC